AGTCGCTCAGGAGTGATTCTGTTTCTGTTCTGCTGGCATTTACTAAACCTTGGCCCGGCTTGACTCTGCCGGTACTCTGAAAACGCTCTAGCCGCTTCTGTTCCACTGCTGATTCACAACGGTGCTTGCCGGCACCATTTGGCACTTTGCCAGCGAGCGCTGGGCAGCCCCACCCAACATTTAGTGGCTAGATTGCGTGGTTGGGAGGGAGATGATCAGATACAACTCCGGGGACACAGATTGAGGTAGGGTAGAGGAGGAATTTAGGGACTGTAACAACCTTCAAAATCACAGGGTCCGTTTTTGTTGTGCTAACATTTGATAATTGTAGCATTCTGACGCAAAACGTGCGCGGGATCGAAGATCTTCGCCTCGAAGAGATGAACGGAGACGTCATGCTTCCCCAGAACCACCAAAACCGAAAGGTCTCTTTAAAATTTTATCAGAATGATTCGGTAATTTGATGTTATAGTTGTTGAAATGCTGAAAGGCATAGCGTAGTAACAAAGAGTGCCATTGCACCATTTCATATTAAAATTCGAATGTTCGGCTTAGCTAGTGGTAGGAAATCGTCATCATTTGCTTCTAAGCAACCCTTGGTAGAGGGAGCCATCGGCAGCTTTGCCAGAATTTGATAGTTGCTGTTACCATCATTCAGGCTTTTTCCAGGTGTCTGTGCCTCAGCAAAGGAGTGGATACAGAGGGGATTTTGACTTTTTCTTTGTACTGTCAAACTACACGGGTTTTGTTGCAGAGCCAGAAAAACGTGTGAAAACTGCCGATGAATTGTTCTTGAAAACGAAAACTCAGCCTGCTATCTATTATCAACCGTTAAGTGAGGAACAGGTGAATGCGAAAGTATTACAATAATTTTATTTCGATTGCTTCGATTAACAGTTATTCCAAAATGCTTCAGTTGCTAAAGCCGCGCTTTTAGCGAGAATTACGTTCATGCTTTAAGGTATAAGCGTAATTCTCACTAAAAACACGACTTTAGCAGATATTTTGGTAATTTTTGAACATTTTAACAAAATATTTTAAGCAGCGTGTCTCCAGTTAATATCTATTTTTTGCTCAATATATGTGCAGCATTTTTTCGAACCCTATCAGGGCGGTCAAGAAAATAACCGTTCGAACAGCCTCCGTAGAGGTGACACATCGAAAAGGTACCAGATACTAGTTGAAGATATGCAGTTTAGTATCGAAGAGCTGACAAAGCTGCGGCCAACGTGTGGTAATCCTTTTAGAAAACAGAGCGAACGATTGGCCAACAGGCTAACTGTCAGGTGTTGCAGCTTTGGTTTGGACATCTGGAGAATCTGTGAGCTTAGCAAATTAGCTGTGAATTATAGCTTAGGGAGCCAAGATGTGAATTATAGCTTACAAAAATATTAGTACCCAAGGATTCATAATTTGCCCAGTATATTGGTACGTTATTTTTTCTTCAGGATCAACCATTGCAGGTTCTGGAACGCATGAAACGAAAAGCAGCCGAAGCGGAACTAGCCCGTCAGGCTGCTGTGAACGGGTCAGCAGCAAAACGGAAGGAAAAAGAGGAGCCAGCAAAAGAGAAGATTAGCGCAACAAAACAGCGCACAAGTGCCAAATCTCCAGCCACACGTCGACGCTCACGTACTCCACCGGCCCGTCGCCGTTCACGTTCCCCGTTGGGGCAGCGTGATCGGCGACGTTCCAGATCTCGGTCACCGCACCGCCGCCGTTAGGTCGCACGTCATGTCCCCACGCAGCGTGTAAGGTGACAGTGATGATGGCTAAAATACCCAGTATTTTTTACTAACCTATCTTATTGTTTTATAGTTTCACCTATTTCTTTCTTCGTTTATGAGTTTTTCTTTTTTCCCCTTTGTTTCTTAAGCCAAAAGAATCAAGACTCGTAGATGTTCTTCAGGGTATGTAGCGTTCCTCTTTTTCGCAACTTCGGTTTTTCCATGTTCAATTTCATGACCTTCAACTCTTTTTTGTATACGTTTTCTTAGCAGTTTTTTTTTT